TGAGAGTGAATAACGTTCTCAGGCAGCTCAATCTGTATGGAAACCAAATATCTGATGTAGGAGGTGAAGCACTGGTTGGGGCATTGAAAGTGAGCAACACTCTCGCGCAACTTAATCTTTCATATAACAAAATATCTGGACAAGGAGACAAAGCACTGGCTAGAGCACTGAAAATGAGGAACACTCTTACTCAACTTGATCTTTCTTGAAACCTTACGGTCTTGTGACTTTTGTCGTTGGAAAAGTATTTTTCTTTCATAAAGATGACTGCTGAGCACCCGAGAACTCATATGAATCAAAAATGAACAAATGGTACAAACCTAAATCATAACCGAAGAGTTTCGCACTTTATGAACAGTAGTCGACACCTAATAATGTCAGACTTCTGACTGAATAATGTATCACGTGCTAAACATGTTATCACACGTAATTTTTCCCACACGTATGTTCATTAGAATCTGGTTAAATCTCGCGAGTTTTCATCCTGTATATTTTCTGAAAATGAGAGTCGAGCTGAGTTACTTCGCATTACAAATCTGAGAGACTATCACTGAGCCAACTCGACTTCGAAAGATATACAGGAAATTTTGTATTTATGCTTACCGGTCACTCTTCACGACATTTCACACATGGACGTACTTGAAACGTAAGATTTTTCTTTTAAATCAGAACGCGAAGGAAAAAATTTAATTCGTTGTCCACAATCAGCAAATAATTTTTCACGTGTGCCCATCTGTGACCATACAATCGTAGTAAGTGAACACGCGTGAAACTCGATGCGTCATAGGCAAGAAAACAGAAAAAAGTTCTCACAAAATCAAGGGTAAATTCCCTCATCTTTCTCCTGTAATGAATGTTGTGACGTTCAACGAGTTCCGTCATTTTCTCCCAAACAGTGAACGATTAGATGCCCCCTTCGCTTAAACACATGAAAAAAAAATGGTTCATGTTTGGAAAAGGCGAAATTTCTGCAAACATCAATGTTGTCGTGCGTACTTCCAGTAAGGTTTTAAATACCAGATTTCGAATCATTTCTAAGTGCTTTCACTTCCTTCACGGCTTATATTATAAACACATTATTAAGAGATAAGAATGGCGTCAAAAGCCACAACAACAGCGAATTTTATACAAGATTCAAATTCGGAACAAAATTCTGCTTTAACAAATATCTTACAATTTTTAAGTGAGTCAATACATTTTATAGCCGATACATACAGCTGTTCGAATTTATCTGAAGAATGTTTAAAGTGTTTAACGTTGGAAACAATAGGCATTGTTAGATTTCTTTTGCAAGATGCGTCAAAGTTTTCACGAAAATATCGACGAACAAAGATGATCACAGATGATTTTGAATCAGCTATTAAACTTCGGCATGCGGAGCCAGTTATCGGCTATAGATTATCCGGCGATCTTCCATATAAATCAGCAGTTAATAGTCATCGCGAATTATCTTATGTTGAAGATAAAGAAATACAACCAGAAGATGTGATTGCAGCTCCTCCACCAAAAGCTCCATTCGATATTTCTTTACGTACGCACTGGCTAGTAATTGATGAAAAACAACCTGCAATCAAAAAAAATATTTACATCCATTATTTCTAGCTGTCATGTCTTGTATATTGGACAGACAGTTATGTTCACGTCCTGATACAAATAATCATTGGGCTTTGCGAGATTTTGCTGCATCACGTTGTGCACAAATGGTGAAAATGTTTTCCACAAATATCGATGGATTAAGAAATCGAATTGTGAGAATATTTCTTCGAGTATTCAATAGTGAAAGATATCCTATTGTTACGCAGTATGGTGCTCTAGTTGGTCTATGGAAATAGGACAAGAAACCATTGAAGAACTTGTTTGTCCAATAGTGAAAATTATTGGTGAAAGAATAATGAAAATTACGGAAAGTTCACCAATGACACCGTTAGACAAAATAGCTATAGAAAAAATGAATTATCAGCTATTGAAATATGTTCCATCTGCCTATCGTGCATGTCGTGATCCCCCGGATGACATAGAAAGTTTTAAACAAGAATTTAGTAACTATTTTGGGGCGAAACTTTACAATCAAGTTTTACCATTGTAACACCAAACAAGCCAACGATTTTTGTATAGATAGATTTTTTTCTATTACTTTTTTTTTTGTTAAATATTCGTCAAATTTTGTACAAAAAGTAGCTCTATAAAATAAACAAGAAAACTTCACTCTCCGGAGTGTCTGAAAACTTCTGAAAGTTTGCCAGTCTATGGCAAGATTCAGTATTTTTTCTAAAGTGTCTTTTATCCATTGCTGTGTTTCAAAAAACCTAGTGTTAGAGGCGCGCTACACTGTAAAGTCGGAAATTATTCATAGAAAATGCTCGACTATTTTCAAAAAGCCAATATACAAAATCCCCACGGGTTTTCCAGATTAAAGTCCCGGCAGGGTTAAGATCTCGACAAGAGCAAGTCAGGATCGCAGCGCAATCGCGACAAGATAATAGCAACATTATGGCTGAATTTGTAATTTCAATTAAACTGCAGAAAGTCTTGTAGTGAAACTAACGGAATATTGTTTTAAATATTCATAACCTTCGTTAATTGTCATGTATTCTCCGGAAACTTCTTTTCATACTTACTACTGGTTTCTATTCTTTAGTTTGTTTTTTAAGATAGTTAAGAAACCGATTTCACTATGTTTTACCCGTTTTTTCTTCGGGAACGTAATGCAATCAAGATGAATCTTTCGCCTCATACTGGCTTCGAGGGTGAGCTTAAAATAAGTACACAGCAATTTTATTTGTACACACGCTCTTGCTTTCTCGAATTCTTCTTTACTCGTCATGGGAATTATGCTAACGGTGTTTTGAACTTTAAAAAAATTTTGATTGGAAGTTCTAATACAGCTTCAATCTTAGACTTCTCTAGATTCTCTTATGTATTTCTCAATTACAGTCCAACATATAACTGGAATTTAATCTCAAAATAAAAGTGAGAGCGGTTGCTCTTTTACTGACTTTCGGAGAATGTATATCCGTAGATATTATCGCTAAGATCATTTCGTTATTAGAGCCAATCTAATATTCTGTGAATGAGGCGGAATGGCTGAGCCTCAATCCTCTGTGCGTCAACCAGAACCGAACTGATCGTCGCTACATCCTAAGAGTCGCTAACAGCAAAGCGATCTTACACCAAGGATATTCACAACTGTTATAAACCATCAACCTTTTATGTATTTCTCACTTTTGTGCATTCTTTATTTTTGAGATCTTTGCACAGTAAACATCGATTGAGAGAAAAAACATCGAAAAAGTCATTTATTGATAAAGAAGACATATGTCTAGATCAAAAATATTTTTGATCTATATAAAATGCATGAAGGAACTGTACGATGGTAAAATTTATATTCTCTCACTCACTGGCACTGCTGTGTACTTACTTTGCAAATTAGTTACTTTTTTCTTTGATTTAACTCCGCTTTGAACACTTAAAGAAGCAGATATGAACTACAGTAAGTATGAATAAATTTAAGCACGGTGCAAGTCGTAAGAAGATGTAAAAGTACGCAGCAGACTTACTATATTAATGGTTTTCCTGTCTATTATTTTGAGAGGCTGACTCTTTTTAGCACCCGCAGCGAAGCATGTAAAAGACTGAAGTTTACAAATGAATAATATCATTTATTTATAAATTTTTCATCATTAATTGACGTAAAATACGAATGTTGACAATGGAAAATAGACAATGGGGCATGTCTTTTCGCAAACAAAATGAATTTCAAAATCCTGGCTTTTGAGAGTCTTTGAAAAGCCAGTCTCATTCACCAGAAATTAAAGCGCCAATATAGGGCTTTTTTATCTAGGAAGATAGCCCACAGAGTGCTCTTCAAAACGGGAATTAAGCGATCTTGATTTTCAGTGATGTAGGCGTGATATCAGATTTTCTAGGAGCCTCGGGACTGAAATCTAGTGGCTTTTGATAGCCTTAAAATTAAATGGAACATAGATAATCGACCAAGCGGAATCGTGTGGCGATGTTTCTTCCTTAAAAAACTCAAAAACTTAATAAAAATTGATTTTATTTGAAATAACCCATTTTACTAAATTACTACTAAATACTATTCTCACCCTAATGGAGAATATTGTTTATAGGAGCGATATTCGTATAGAACAATTTTTAGAGGTTCTTCTCCTGGATTCCATCTTCCGACCTTTCATATGCTGTACTTCAGCAACTACGCATTTTTCCATTGCACTAAATTATGCAAAAGGAAACTACGAGTTGTGATGATACATTATGAACCCAAACAAAATGGGATCTAGCTTAAGCTAGCTAAAGAGGAACAATCAGCTAGCTCAAGCTAGGTAAATGTTCCTTTTAGCTAGTTTAAGCTAGATCCTATTTTGCTTGGGAAGGCCGTACACTTTATATTTAAATAGTCTTTACAAGTGATCACTCACATGTTACTAGCTATACTATACATAAATATTTTATAACTAGCATTGCTAGTAAAGGACCCGTCGTACACTTCGTGTCGACGTTAAAAATAAGGTCGATATTTATGTATAGTATAGCTAGTAACATGTGAGTGATCACATGTTACTAGGATCATGTACTATACCGTTGTTCACTCAAATTTCAGCGAACACTGGCTTCGCTTAGAATCATAAAATGCATGGATAGTTAGAACACGAATATGATAGTTAAGAATCTCAGAAATGTTTTAAGAAGTCATATAATTTTTGCTTTCTGCCAATCTCAGTTGTAATAGCCCTGTATCTTCTCTATAGTTAACAATCTTCTGACATCGTCATCCATATCATTACTAGTCATCAACTGCAGCTCTTATCAGAAGGATAGTCGCTACGAGCGAAAGACGTACAGTTCTTTCGCCCAATTACTTGAGCTCCCCCATACACGCTTACTAACTTTCGAAAAGCCACGAAGACTAGCTAGAGAAACTGTATTGTACATTAAAGTGCGTGACCAAGAACAGAGCCACCAACTCCATGCTATGCGTATTTTTTTCTAACTAGTGCACGGCGAGCAAGCATAGCGTTTGATCCTCGATTTTGAACAGTTTTTAACAACAGAACGGTTACTTTACGTGGAAAAAATATACTATGTCTAACTCACATCGAGTTCGGACAAGAGCAGTTGATTTTATGCGTTTAATTTTGAGTCTACGACAGGAAAACTCAAATAGTATTCTTCTGCATAGCCTTGGGGTGAACCTAACTACTACTAAATTTGATCTTGATCTATCAAATGAGGGCTATAAATCGATGCAGTTTTCAAGCTCTATTCAAATATTGTCTTCAAATTTACAAGACATGTATTTCATGGTTAAAATGGAGGAGTACCACCAGGAGTCGGCGAGTTTTTGAGTTTTAATGATTTTCTCTCACACATCTTCTGTTGTTCTTCTCGTTCAAATAAACAATTGATTTTCCTTTCTGAGTTATGATTTACGCGAATCAATTTTTAGAGAAAAAAGCCATTTTATTTTTTATCTGGATTAGTAGTTTCATTAAATGATTAGGCATAAGTTTTGACAAATGCCTGTATTTTTCTTTTACATATTGGGTATAAACGAAGTGCTTGTAAACAATTAATACATGAAGACCAAAGGCCACATGGTATACATGCTAAACACTCTTCGTCGGCATGATGCACTATACATGTCGTGTTGTGGCAGACAGTTCGAGTCTGACATCTATTTGCCTGCCTAAAATAAAAAGGCCTATACTGTCAGTATCGTTTCCTTTTTCTAGCCAAAATCTTACGCATTTCTTGTATATTTCCTACTAGGATCCTACAGAATCTTAAAATTAGAATTTTAGTAGGTAATCGTTAGGAAATGCGAAGGATTTTATCTATGATTCAGTCATTAGATTTTCTTGTTAAGGTCTTATCCGGATCTTAACAGAATCCTATGACTTTCGAGTATCTCAGATTTCATTAGGATTCTATAGAATTTTATTAAAATCCTACGTAAAAGTAAATGTAATCCCGAAACGATTCTGGTAGGATTTCTTTGAGACCCTATTAAGAAATCTATAGGTTTCTTACAAGGGTTATGAATTAATCTATGCAAAATGGTTCCATCCTTATACTACAAGCATCAGTACCTTCAATCGATTCCGTTTTTGTTTCTGGCACATATGATTCTCTATCTTTTTTTACAACTACCATTTGTTCTAAATTTCAATTTAAATCGCATTACTTTTCAGTCGGAAAAAAGTTATTACTTTGATTTATGTCATTTAATTTTTGTTTTGGAATAACAACATTTTCGCTGTTACCATTGATAACGTCAATTTGCTTTTGAAGAATAACACACGCAATAAATAAATCATTATTGGTCACAAAATCTTCCACTAAACGAAAAAATATCGACTTCAAATCACTCATGAATGATAGAGTAAACTAATCTAGATCGGTGTAATCTTAATTGCACTTACGTTTTAATCTTAATTGATCTTCGAAACATCGTTTAACAACTGATTTACTAAATACAGTGAAAAGACGTTGTGCAATTGGCGTATTTAAACGATCAACAATCAATTTTGTCATTGTATTTTCATCTGGAATAGATAATCGGCCATTTGTTTGTTGACGTTGGGCTAAAGGAAAAACAATATAGAGCTAATCTGGTAAAGTAGTCAATGGATCGACTAGTAATGATCTTTTCCTTTGCTTACTAGCACAGTTGCTAAAAAGGTAGAGCTCAAATTTTTTGCTATGTGATATCTTAGTTTGCCATTTCTTTCGTTCTGTTGCTTTTCTATCCTAGCCATAAATGAAAAAATTTTTGTTTATGAGACAGACATTGCGAATCAGAGCTGATCACCTGCATTGTAAACTGCCCGCAACCTGCAGGCAGTGCAGGCAGGTTGCAGTTTGCAGGTGAATGAAAAATTTTTCCACTAACGGCCGGCAGATAAAGAAGAATGTTTTTCTGCCTGCACTCCCTGCAGGAGAGAAGATTTTACCTGCATTCACTGCAGGGAAAGACGTTTTTGTGTGGAGAAGAAAAAGAGAGAGGAGACCAAGAGAAATATATTGATCACACTGAAGGTCAGAATGATCTCTTAATGAAAAGAAACTAACTAACATTTTTTTTTGTATGTCTACTAGACATTTTAAGATGAAGGAGAGAAACGTTTTATCCGTAATCACTTATATCATTTGATATGTCATTTCCTGTGATATAATGGCCTAGACCGCATCCGTGTAGGGTTAACTAAACTAAACTAAACGAAAAATATAGAATAAACAAAAACAATGAATTTCGTTCTTATTGTATGCAATGTTTCTTCTACTATGCTCACTACCTATAGTATATAGAAGATGACAAACGACTACAACGATAACAGAAAGAGAAAAATATAGAACAAGGATAGTGAATCGTAACTGGTGATACAGTCTATAATTATCAGTGTGTAATACAGACTGATAGTGGTCACTGGGAAAAAAAATTGTTATACCTCGCCTTAGGGTCCACCTGCAGCCAACCTGCAGGGCAGGGCAGTGCAGAATTTTTCACCCTCAGCCTCTGCTTGTGCAGAAGAAAAGATTTTTTTGGTAACCTGCAAACTGCAACGCGGAAAAATTATGCAGGTGATCAGCTCTGTTGCGAATGTCCGTTCCCACAATAATGCATTTTTATAATTCGTTTATATTTGGTTCAATTTACTGTCTACTGCCGATTTAACAAAGAATGGAACAAATGCAGAGATCGTGGCATGAGAATTTTTCATTGAGAGTACACCTTCCCTGCAGGCTTTCCTGGTAGTTAGTAAATCGTAAAAACCCTCACCCTCACCCTCACTTTTCTTTCATCCCCTATGAAAGTAACTTTGACTCGTCTTTTGAGGCCAGTCCTTGTGAGTTATCGATGGTTCCTGGGTTTTCAAGAATCCTTCCTTTTTAACATCATTAACATGCGACCATCACGTCCCTACGCTTGAAAATCCTGGGATCGAGCCAAAATTTTTATCATAAGTACCTAATACTAAATCTCAGATGTCTTTTTGTTGTTTTGAAAAATATTGTTCCGCACAAAAGTTCGAAAAATGGAGAAAAGACATCTGAAGAATCTTAAGAACAGTAACAGTACCAAAATGAAGTCTATGAAATACTGCGTGGAACTTCTACTGATCTCGAAAAATGATAGTCTATCCGAACTCTTTGCTTTCGAACTAACAAATAGCTCTCAAACCATTAAGCATGTTCGAATCGTTGAGCGTTTCTTTCATAAACGTTTCTTTCAGTTATCTGCGTCAATGTTTCAGCTAGTGCTCAGTGGAGATGATATAATACAGTATCAGTTGCACTCATATACAACAGTTTTATCGTCATAAATCGTATACCTTTGGAGGAAAGTGGTACTCCATAGAAAAATAATAATAATAAAAACTTGATGAATATTTCTTAGCAAACATAGTTTAAGAAAAAAAAATAGGGTGAACAAGAACTTAGAACTCTAACCTTTTAACAGTTGAATCAAACTACTTTCAACTCCGACTTACGTACTGTTCAACTTTTGCAACAAACATTTTACAAAATAATCTCTAAAAACGACATATATAGTACACCGCTACGATAATTTTAAATCTTGTATCACAGAATCGCCGTATATTCGAGATAAAGTCGCACGAAACCAGCGACCATAGACACGATTTACTTCCCGAGCTGCTTTTGGAATTTCGGCAGATTTTGACAAAAGCAGAAATTCATTTGGAATTTCTGTTCGTTGCAGTAACTTTTTTGGAATTTCGACAACTGTCGAAATTTATAAAGTTGTTGTGAGACAATAAGGGAAATTGTTTCTATGTTTATGTGTTTTGTTCTGTCAGTAGGGGGACACCTCCTATATCCTGATCGGGATATAAAACACAAAATTTCGTCGTAAAAACGATTAAGGGAAAAATGACGACGTTATGGGAAAAAATTGACCTCACCATTAGAAGGAGCTCGAAAAACTATCCCGATTGGGATATATATACCTGCATATCTGCTATTCCGATCAGGATATAGAAAAAAATTAATATTCCGATCGGGATATAAAACACAAAATTTCGTGGTAAAAACGATTAAGGGAAAAATGACGACGTTATAGGGAAAAATTGGCGTCACCATTAGAAAGAGCTCGAAAAACTACATCGGATTTTGTTGTGTTTGATTAAAAGTGTATCAAGCACCCAGCAACTATTTTTTCGAATATAAATTTTTATCAAATTAGTCGAATTTATGTCCCGATCGAGAAATAGGCGGTTAACCCCAAGGAGAAAAAAAATATCGACTATCGGGCGATCTAGCTAGCTAACTCAATATACTACCCGATATACCTAGCTAGCAATTCGAATTGGGTTATTTACTATCGGGCGATATAGCTAGCTAACACGA